GCGTCCGCACGAGCGCGAGTCTCCGCTGACTCCGCGCGCACCTCTCCAAACGGACGAGGCGTTTATACTCGACGCGTCCGCACGAGCGCGAGTCTCCGCTGACTCCGCGCGCACCTCTCCAAACGGACGAGGCGTTTATACTCGACGCGTCCGCACGAGCGCGAGTCTCCGCTGACTGCGCGCGCACCTCTCCAAACGGACGAGGCGTTTATACTCGACGTGTCCGCACGAGCGCGAGTCTCCGCTGACTCCGCGCGCACCTCTCCAAACGGACGAGGCGTTTATACTCGACGCGTCCGCACGAGCGCGAGTCTCCGCTGACTCCGCGCGCACCTCTCCAAACGGACGAGGCGTTTATACTCGACGCGTCTGCACGAGCGCGAGTCTCCGCTGACTGCGCGCGCACCTCTCCAAACGGACGAGGCGTTTATACTCGACGCGTCCGCACGAGCGCGAGTCTCCGCTGACTCCGCGCGCACCTCTCCAAACGGACGAGGCGTTTATACTCGACGCGTCCGCACGAGCGCGAGTCTCCGCTGACTGCGCGCGCACCTCTCCAAACGGACGAGGCGTTTATACTCGACGTGTCCGCACGAGCGCGAGTCTCCGCTGACTGCGCGCGCACCTCTCCAAACAGACGAGGCGTTTATACTCGACGCGTCCGCACGAGCGCGAGTCTCCGCTGACTGCGCGCGCACCTCTCCAAACGGACGAGGCGTTTATACTCGACGCGTCTGCACGAGCGCGAGTCTCCGCTGACTGCGCGCGCACCTCTCCAAACGGACGAGGCGTTTATACTCGACGCGTCCGCACGAGCGCGAGTCTCCGCTGACTGCGCGCGCACCTCTCCAAACGGACGAGGCGTTTATACTCGACGCGTCCGCACGAGCGCGAGTCTCCGCTGACTGCGCGCGCACCTCTCCAAACGGACGAGGCGTTTATACTCGACGCGTCCGCACGAGCGCGAGTCTCCGCTGACTGCGCGCGCACCTCTCCAAACGGACGAGGCGTTTATACTCGACGCGTCCGCACGAGCGCGAGTCTCCGCTGACTGCGCGCGCACCTCTCCAAACAGACGAGGCGTTTATACTCGACGCGTCCGCACGAGCGCGAGTCTCCGCTGACTGCGCGCGCACCTCTCCAAACGGACGAGGCGTTTATACTCGACGCGTCCGCACGAGCGCGAGTCTCCGCTGACTCCGCGCGCACCGCTCCAAACGGACGAGGCGTTTATACTCGACGCGTCCGCACGAGCGCGAGTCTCCGCTGACTGCGCGCGCACCTCTCCAAGCGGACGAGGCGTTTATACTCGACGCGTCCGCACGAGCGCGAGTCTCCGCTGACTGCGCGCGCACCTCTCCAAACGGACGAGGCGTTTATACTCGACGCGTCCGCACGAGCGCGAGTCTCCGCTGACTCCGCGCGCACCGCTCCAAACGGACGAGGCGTTTATACTCGACGCGTCCGCACGAGCGCGAGTCTCCGCTGACTCCGCGCGCACCTCTCCAAACGGACGAGGCGTTTATACTCGACGCGTCCGCACGAGCGCGAGTCTCCGCTGACTGCGCGCGCACCGCTCCAAACGGACGAGGCGTTTATACTCGACGCGTCCGCACGAGCGCGAGTCTCCGCTGACTGCGCGCGCACCTCTCCAAACGGACGAGGCGTTTATACTCGACGCGTCCGCACGAGCGCGAGTCTCCGCTGACTGCGCGCGCACCTCTCCAAACGGACGAGGCGTTTATACTCGACGCGTCCGCACGAGCGCGAGTCTCCGCTGACTGCGCGCGCACCGCTCCAAACGGACGAGGCGTTTATACTCGACGCGTCCGCACGAGCGCGAGTCTCCGCTGACTGCGCGCGCACCTCTCCAAACAGACGAGGCGTTTATACTCGACGCGTCCGCACGAGCGCGAGTCTCCGCTGACTGCGCGCGCACCTCTCCAAACGGACGAGGCGTTTATACTCGACGCGTCCGCACGAGCGCGAGTCTCCGCTGACTGCGCGCGCACCTCTCCAAACGGACGAGGCGTTTATACTCGACGCGTCCGCACGAGCGCGAGTCTCCGCTGACTGCGCGCGCACCTCTCCAAACGGACGAGGCGTTTATACTCGACGCGTCCGCACGAGCGCGAGTCTCCGCTGACTGCGCGCGCACCTCTCCAAACGGACGAGGCGTTTATACTCGACGCGTCCGCACGAGCGCGAGTCTCCGCTGACTGCGCGCGCACCTCTCCAAACGGACGAGGCGTTTATACTCGACGCGTCCGCACGAGCGCGAGTCTCCGCTGACTGCGCGCGCACCTCTCCAAACGGACGAGGCGTTTATACTCGACGCGTCCGCACGAGCGCGAGTCTCCGCTGACTCCGCGCGCACCTCTCCAAACGGACGAGGCGTTTATACTCGACGCGTCCGCACGAGCGCGAGTCTCCGCTGACTGCGCGCGCACCTCTCCAAACGGACGAGGCGTTTATACTCGACGCGTCCGCACGAGCGCGAGTCTCCGCTGACTGCGCGCGCACCTCTCCAAACGGACGAGGCGTTTATACTCGACGCGTCCGCACGAGCGCGAGTCTCCGCTGACTCCGCGCGCACCGCTCCAAACGGACGAGGCGTTTATACTCGACGCGTCCGCACGAGCGCGAGTCTCCGCTGACTGCGCGCGCACCTCTCCAAACGGACGAGGCGTTTATACTCGACGCGTCCGCACGAGCGCGAGTCTCCGCTGACTCCGCGCGCACCGCTCCAAACGGACGAGGCGTTTATACTCGACGCGTCCGCACGAGCGCGAGTCTCCGCTGACTCCGCGCGCACCGCTCCAAACGGACGAGGCGTTTATACTCGACGCGTCCGCACGAGCGCGAGTCTCCGCTGACTGCGCGCGCACCGCTCCAAACGGACGAGGCGTTTATACTCGACGCGTCCGCACGAGCGCGAGTCTCCGCTGACTGCGCGCGCACCTCTCCAAACGGACGAGGCGTTTATACTCGACGCGTCCGCACGAGCGCGAGTCTCCGCTGACTCCGCGCGCACCTCTCCAAACGGACGAGGCGTTTATACTCGACGCGTCCGCACGAGCGCGAGTTTCCGCTGACTGCGCGCGCACCGCTCCAAACGGACGAGGCGTTTATACTCGACGCGTCCGCACGAGCGCGAGTCTCCGCTGACTGCGCGCGCACCTCTCCAAACGGACGAGGCGTTTATACTCGACGCGTCCGCACGAGCGCGAGTCTCCGCTGACTGCGCGCGCACCTCTCCAAACGGACGAGGCGTTTATACTCGACGCGTCCGCACGAGCGCGAGTCTCCGCTGACTGCGCGCGCACCGCTCCAAACGGACGAGGCGTTTATACTCGACGCGTCCGCACGAGCGCGAGTCTCCGCTGACTGCGCGCGCACCTCTCCAAACGGACGAGGCGTTTATACTCGACGCGTCCGCACGAGCGCGAGTCTCCGCTGACTGCGCGCGCACCTCTCCAAACGGACGAGGCGTTTATACTCGACGCGTCCGCACGAGCGCGAGTCTCCGCTGACTGCGCGCGCACCTCTCCAAACGGACGAGGCGTTTATACTTGACGCGCTCGCCGTTGTGCTATTCTGTGAAACGACAGGGGGCGACTCGGAGTAATTCTCCTCTAAACCACCAGGAATCAGCAGTGAAGAAGTAGTTTGCCGTTTAGTAGTAGTTTATTAATAGCTGATTCATATAAAAAGAGTAATAAATGCAGTAGGTTTATTGTACTTTCACTGCATGTAAACTAGTTAAACAGCTGAAGCCTTATTGAAGAGTGTTTAAACCTTAATTTCATCAGCAGGGCATACTTCTGCTATTGTAGGCTTAATTTATAAATGTAAGCAGTTACTTTACTAAGTGCAAACTGGGTGCTTGATGCAAATGTGTTCCTATTCACAAAATGAGAGGCTTTTATGGTCGCCCATCAATGCAAATGTCTCTGTGTATAGAAGGATCATAAACATGCTGATACAGACGTACCAGTTCGGCCAGATTCGGCTGGAAGTCGTTCATCTTCGGATGCGGCGCCGCGCGCGATGTTACAAAAAGTGCCGTGCACCGCCAGGCGAAATGGGGTCTTGCGCACCCAACGCGCACGACCGCCCACACCGCAATTACGTCATTTTGCCGTGCGCACCTTCGCGCTCTTGCGGACGCGGCGAGTATAAACAAGGCTTTAGCCCTCGCGGCATCAACCTCTTCTGTAGAGCGCCCGATACACTACTGACGTGCGGAGGGATATCTGTCATCAAGCACCCTGTAAGTTTGACTAAAGCATGAAAGTAAGAGGATAATATTTTACATTTTTAAATATGTTAAATATGATGGAAGAACAAAACACTAAACTTGGTTAAGGTATTTATCTGACAAACTTATTTGGCAAAAAAGGCAAACTACAGCTACAGGTTTGATTTTACTATGGAAAAAAAAAAGAGTGCATAGAAAAAGCGTTGACGGGAAAAGTAAACAGACTATCAGACTAGTTATTAATATTTAATTGGTTCTCTCTTATTTTTGCATGCTCATATTTTTCTTTTTTTGTATAACAGGCTGGACACATACTTTGTCATGTTTCATTGCGTTATTATCACTAACACAAAATCGACTCCAAGCACAACTATGAATATGCAGATGAGCCCCGCCTCCACTCACTCCCTCAGCTCAGAGATCCACTGGTTGACGATCACACGTTGATCTGATTGGTTACAAGGTCGTTTGTGACGTCAGAAACACCAGCGATTTCAAACCGTGTTTTTGAGACTGTCTTTGGTTCACTGCAGTTTTAAGGAGGAAATACTCAGCAATGCTGTCGACTTATGAACTTACACATGGTGTGTCTGAAAGCGTATTAAACACCACAGACATATAAACAACATTAAACACTGGATAAGAGTCTTCTGACAAATGATTGTATCTTTGTTTCTTACTTTGACCGTGTTAATGCTGAATAATGACTAAAGATCTGTGTGTGTGTGTGTGTGCGCAGGTAAACGCCTGCACGCTGTTGCAGGCGCTGAGGACCGTGACACACTGATGCTCCTGTAAAGCTCATGTTTGTCACACACACTCCTCTTCCCTCGGCTGACGCTGCAAACGCAGACTCATGACGTCACTCCGGGAATACCTCACCGAGGGGCCGGAGCGGCTGAAGATGACGGCCGCACACACACACACACACACACACACACACACACACACACTGACTCTCACACACTCTCACACACACGCGCACACTGACTCACACTCACACACACACACACACACTGACTCTCACACACACTGACTCTCACTCACACACACACGCACACACTGACTCTCACACACACTGACTCTCACTCACACACACACAGTTTTTTAAGTAAGGTCTTACAAAATATATGTAGTGGCAGAAATTGTATGTATGATTTCCGTCAATAAAGATAAGTTATGTGATGATCCTTTGACTGGTTTCGTTTTTTGTACCTACAGTCACGAACACCTGGAAATATGCGGGGGATTCTGCTCACACACACACGGCTTTAACCCTCATCTTTCCCTCGCGTTCTGCAGTTACACAACTACCACTGACGAACCGTTCATAAAGAGATCGTAAAACTCCATTAATTTATATGATGAACAGATTGAATTTAGGCTTTTACTCGCATACACACATTCATCAACAGTAAACGGAAGCTCAAGCATGAAAATGTATTCAACCCAGTTTCCCTCTTCATGTAAAGCGATCGAGTCTCCTCGGGATATCTGGACTAAACTGACCACTTAATATGCATTAGTTTTACGATCTCTTCATTAACTTTAAGCGTCACAGTGGTAGTTTCATAACTGTCAACGGAGGGACAGAAATCTCTCAGATTTCATTAAAATATTCGAAGAGGTTTGGAACGACACGAGGGAGTAATTAAGGAGATAATTCTGATGTTTGGGTGAACTATTCCTTTAATTACTATGTACTAACCAATACCTCCACGTGTACTGATTCACTGTAAGGATGAGGATTATAGGAGTAATAGTTTTAGGTTAACTTAAATAATACGCCAGCTGGTTGAATCGAGAATCGCGACCTCATCTGATGTATAAATAGGGACATGATTATGGAGGACGCATTATTTAAATGATTTAACACTACACTTCCCTGGCCTATAGCATAATTTATATATTTTTTAAACAGAACACCCAAAATATTTTTTTTCAATCACAATTACTGTAATTAATTTGTGATCACATACTTTTATATTATTGATCAATATGTGAATCCGTTGACTAGGCTACATGTCTCATTGGCACAAACTAATTTAGATGAGATTAACTGTATTGATCCCACACTTGTATGGACTTCCGGCTGAACAATAGCGGAACTTGTACCTTATCTGTTTGTTGTTGAAGCATAATAAAATAAAATAAACTTGTATGGGCTTCCGAAACTTTGTTTGTCCACGTGCTTTATCTTCTCTGCTGTGATTTGTTAGATGGTGGAGGAAACAAGTGTGACCACCAGGTGTCGCTAAAGTGCATAGTGTTAAAAGCTTCGAGTAATGACCCTTTTTTCGGCACAATTTGATGAAAGCCTCAAATGTTTCAGAAAGCCTCGGTCTCCCATCAGTAGGTTCAGATACACACAGTAAGGTTTGGGCATGGTCAAAAATAATAAGAAAATAGTTGTGGATGTGGAGTGGACCCTTTTTGTTGTGGACAGGCGGCGGAGACATCCCGGAAGTGACGGAAGAAGCGCGCGCTCCTCTCCAGCCCAGCAGATGGCGGGAATGCCGACCGCCGCTAAACTGAACAGAAGAAGAAGAAGAAGAAGTGATTAGTTTGAGCACACTCGCTCATCAGCAGTGTGTTGTTAAATGTCCAGGTAATAGTTGCTGATCATGACTCAAACAGACAGAGATGCGGAGAACGGCAGAGACCGAGAGAAGGAGCAGCGCGGAGTGAAGAGACCGATCGTTCCCGCCACGGTCCCGGAGCCCGCGCAGGAGGTGACGACACTACCTACGGTTACACGCATCATACATGACGCCGGACCCAAACATTAATATAATATAAACATACACCTCATTAATCAGAGGAAACATAACGTTACACCTCATTAATCAGAGGATATAAACTTACACCTCATTAATCAGACTGATCGAAACACTAATAATGTTGTTAGCTAAAAGAACTGCCTATTATGGCAAGCCGTTTTGACTTATATTCAGTTTATTTGTTTTTTATATCATCAACAAATCCTTTTTCACTAGTTAAATTGATCATTCTTGATATCAACAATCACGTCATCACTCGAAGAAATAGGAAACTTTGATATCAAGAATTAAATTTCAACTAGTAAAAATTATAATTCTTGATGTCATTAACAATTAAAATTTCACTAGTTAAAATGATAGTTCTTGATATCTGTAATTGTATTTTCACTAGTTAAATGTCACCATAGGCTTGTTCAATAATTGATTTCTAACTAGATGAAATTCCAATTTTACAGATCAGAAATACAATTCTTACTAGTAACAATCATACTTTTTTATATCAATAATTACTTTAATTAATTAATAATTATAGTTACTAGTGCAAATATGAATTCCTGATATCAAGACCTCAATTGTCACTAGTTGAAAAGTTAATTCTTCATATCTGTAAATGTATTTCAACATCTGAACATGCATTTCTGATAATAATAATTAAGAGAGTAATATCAGAAATCTAAAATGTGTTTCTTATTAGTAACAATCACATTCATGAGATCAGAAAATAACATTGTCACTAGTGAAAATCGAATTATTGATAAATGTAAAAATGATATCAAGATCATGTGACGTCTCCGTTCCCTCCTCCGGGGAGCGACCACACCCGACTGAGACGTTCTTCATGTGTGTTCAACGGCCATAAATCACATGTTTTGTTTGCTTATCGAAATCTGAAGTCAAAAATCTGAAATACACTGATTAATTAGTCAATATTTTCATTATTACAGAGTTTAGGTGTTAAAGTTTTCATGATATCTAAATGGGCAATTTTTATTATTTTATGGAATATTGCAGCATTTCTTAAACTCATGTGCCTCGAAATCTTTAATCAAAATAATTTAATCTCCCTCTCCCAATCTTTACAATAAACCATTTATTGCAAAAAAAAAAAAAAAGAGAAGAATAGTCTGTTTTGATCTCAGGAGAATATGTTTGTGTTCAGCAAATCCAGGCGAACTTCCTGGTGGTGATCCACCCCGGCTCGAGGACCCTGCGCATGGGGCGAGCCACGGACACCCTGCCCGTCAGCGTCCCGCACGTGATCGCGCGCAGACACAGGCAGCTCGGGCAGCCCCGCCGCGAGGACCCCAGCCTGCTGCGCCCCGGACTCAGCGTACGCCAGCGCTAGCATGCTAAGATGATGAGTGTACGGCTGAGGAGTGCAGCAGCAGGTGACGAGTGTGTGTGTGTGTGTGTGTGTGTGTGTCAGTCTGCAGACAGCAGTGAGCAGAGGCAGAGTGGCCTGAAGATGATCGATCAGGTGATCTGGTCCAGGAAAATGTCCAACGGTGTGAGACGAACGCCAGTGTCCGCAGAGCAGGTGTGTGTGATCCTGAGAACGAGTGTGTGTCAGCAGGTGTGTGTGTGCTTCAGCACTGAGCGTGTGTGTGTGTGTTCACAGGCCAGATTATACAACAGACAGATCCGTCCTGCTGTTCTGGAGCCGAACTGTAAAGTCAGCTGGACGAACACCGCCCATCAGGCCCAGTATCTCGTCGGAGAAGAGGTGAACACGATCAGGGCTCTGGCGTTCTCAAGTGGGCTTAGTTCTCACTGACACACCTGGAACAAGTTTACCTCTTACCCTTGTAGCGTTGGCATGCAGTGTTTCCCCTACAATGTATTCAGCAGCGGTGCAGCGCCGCCACTGGGTTTTCAGCGCCGCTGCTAAATCTTCACATGATCAGTAATATCACGACATTCACTTCACACCTAAAAGCACTGAGACACGGCGACCGCTGGCGCTGCTAATGCGGCGGCTCTGAATCCACTTGTTGAAAAGAAAGGACGAAAGAACCACATATGGAAATATTTTCGATTAGGCTAATGTCACGTTGCCAAAAGGGGCCGTTCACACAGCGCGTTTCTCTGCGCGTGCACATTCGTTATTTCAAATGTAGGCGCACTGGAAGCGCGCTCGTTTTTCCCGGCCGCCTCTGTTCATGGTTGCATGGCAACGACAGACGCCACGGGAGAGCAAGCGCTAGTGGAAAGGAGAACGCGGCGCTCTCCATGAGGACGAGGAAGTATCAGCTAAGAATTAATTGATTTCTAGCATTAGCTTTACTACTAGATATATTTATGGAGATGAGAGATATAAAGCCGCCCTGTGCAGCGATGATCAGCTGGCCGAGCCGAGATGTTGTTACGGAGGGGCCGAAGCTGATCGGCTGGTTTTTGTCACATGGCCTCTTGAGATGAGATGTTACGCTGTTTTCATCTCGCCACGCGCGCCTACAATTGAAATAACGAATTTGCGCACAAAGAACGCGATATGTGAACGGCCCCAAAGTGGACTCGGGTGCGGGTGTGTCGGGGTACATGAGCACAGTATCGGACCGACACCCGAGGGCTGTTTATGCCATTATTAGTCCGTCAGAAAAGCAGTTCTAGGCTTATTCTTGGCTGGATAACTCTTAGCAGGTTTAAAAAGCCTTTTAAAATTAAATATGAACACAGTTTTGGATTAAATAAAAGTACAGTCAAGTCAAATTAAACACGTTTATCTCCTGTATTGTTTGGTAACACTATAAGAAGAGACTCATTCATTAACATTACTTAATGCGTTATCTAACATCCACACATTGAGTGAATTGAACATGAATTAATGTTTGTGAATGTTATTTAATACAAACACACTCATGTTTGTTCACTTCATTAATTGTGCATTAAATAATTTTAACATAAAACCTTTGATTTTAAAAATGTTCACACAGATTGGATGTGGCCTTTGCCATTAAGATAACATTTTCAATAAATTCTAAATAATCTTTTTCTGGGTTGTGCCATTTCATTTTTCCCCCATCAATATCGACCTTATAGCAGTTTCTGTTTGTGACCAGTTCAAGGTGCGTGCTGCAATAATCAAGCCTTGAATCTGCTGATGGTATGTCATATTTGTATGTCTCAAAATGTCCATTTCTATCCACAAAACTTGCCAGAAGTCATGGTTTAAGGGGTTATTTTAAAAATAATTCTTCTGGAGGTACATGCCCCCCCGACCCCCCCCCCCCCCCCCCCCCCGCGCGCGACTTGGTAACGGCACGTGACAGCACCGCTGCTGGAAACATTTCTAGGGGAAACACTGAAGGGAAGTCCCGCTCGTCCTCTCGCCTGTCATGTGTCGGTGATGATGTCAGAGTGCGTCAGTGATGAGGACAGAGGGATGAGGTCAGAGTGTGTCGGTGATGATGTCAGAGTGTGTCAGTGATGAGGTCAGAGGGATGAGGTCAGAGTGTGTCGGTGATGAGGTCAGAGGGATGATGTCAGAGTGTGTCAGTGATGAGGTCAGAGGGATGAGGTCAGAGTGTGTCGGTGATGAGGTCAGAGGGATGATGTCAGAGTGTGTCAGTGATGAGGTCAGAGGGATGAGGTCAGAGTGTGTCGGTGATGAGGTCAGAGGGATGAGGTCAAAGTGTGTCAGTGATGAGGTCAGAGGGATGAGGTCAGAGTGTGTCAGTGATGAGGTCAGAGGGATGAGGTCAGAGTGTGTCGGTGATGAGGTCAGAGGGATGATGTCAGAGGGATGAGGTCAGAGTGTGTCAGTGATGAGGTCAGAGGGATGAGGTCAGAGTGTGTCGGTGATGAGGTCAGAGGGATGATGTCAGAGGGATGAGGTCAGAGTGTGTCGGTGATGAGGTCAGAGGGATGAGGTCAGAGTGTGTCAGTGATGAGGTCAGAGGGATGAGGTCAGAGTGTGTCGGTGATGAGGTCAGAGGGATGATGTCAGAGGGATGAGGTCAGAGTGTGTCAGTGATGAGGTCAGAGGGATGAGGTCAGAGTGTGTCGGTGATGAGGTCAGAGGGATGAGGTCAGAGTGTGTCGGTGATGATGTCAGAGTGTGTCAGTGATGAGGTCAGAGGGATGAGGTCAGAGTGTGTCAGTGATGAGGTCAGAGGGATGAGGTCAGAGTGTGTCGGTGATGAGGTCAGAGGGATGATGTCAGAGGGATGAGGTCAGAGTGTGTCGGTGATGAGGTCAGAGGGATGAGGTCAGAGGGATGAGGTCAGAGTGTGTCAGTGATGATGTCAGAGTGTGTCAGTGATGAGGTCAGAGGGATGAGGTCAGAGTGTGTCAGTGATGAGGTCAGAGGGATGAGGTCAGAGTGTGTCGGTGATGAGGTCAGAGGGATGATGTCAGAGGGATGAGGTCAGAGTGTGTCGGTGATGAGGTCAGAGGGATGAGGTCAGAGGGATGAGGTCAGAGTGTGTCAGTGATGAGGTCAGAGGGATGAGGTCAGAGTGTGTCAGTGATGAGGTCAGAGGGATGATGTCAGAGGGATGAGGTCAGAGTGTGTCAGTGATGAGGTCAGAGGGATGAGGTCAGAGTGTGTCAGTGATGAGGTCAGAGGGATGAGGTCAGAGTGTGTCAGTGATGAGGTCAGAGGGATGATGTCAGAGGGATGAGGTCAGAGTGTGTCGGTGATGAGGTCAGAGGGATGAGGTCAGAGTGCGTCAGTGATGAGGTCAGAGGGATGAGGTCAGGGTGTCAGTGATGAGGTCAGAGGGATGAGGTCAGAGTGTGTCGGTGATGAGGTCAGAGGGATGAGGTCAGAGTGTGTCGGTGATGATGTCAGAGTGTGTCAGTGATGAGGTCAGAGGGATGAGGTCAGAGTGTGTCGGTGATGAGGTCAGAGGGATGATGTCAGAGGGATGAGGTCAGAGTGTGTCAGTGATGAGGTCAGAGGGATGAGGTCAGAGTGTGTCGGTGATGAGGTCAGAGTGCGTCAGCGACGGCGTCTCGACGTTACACACTCTCTACACTGGCCAATCTTTAATGTTCTGAGACTGCACTCTTTATCAGGACAAACTTTGACTTATTTATGGATCCAGATTTTGTATCCAGAAGAATTATGCGACATCTACACGCCACAGACCGTCGCCTTCTGCATTCCGTCAACATTGCGTTATCAATTAGCTTTTTGACATTTGTGATTCGATTCAGAGTCGTTCGCATCCCCCCATTTACAATGGTTCACCTTCGAGTCTGTGAGCTCGTAGATGTTCAGTGGTAGGAGGCCGGATTAGATGTTTAGAATAAAGTTAAAACAGAGCTTTTTTTTCCTTCAAATTGTTTGTTTATGGTCCTAGGTATTCCGTTCAAAGGAAAAGGACTTTGGTTTTAATAAATTTTTTATCAGGCACTGCAAAATTAGTAATCTGGAAAACAAGAAAGAACAAACTCGTAGGGCAGTGCCATGCGTGCAGAGGTGTAGTGGTAAAAAAAGAGGTGGGTAAACTATAAATGCTGGTGGACCACGACGTGGTCACCCGGTAAGGTGGGCCACTGCCTACCGGTGTGTGTGTATCTCCTGATGACATTGCTATAGGCAGGGCTCGAGATTAAGCCTTTTCATACGCTTAATCTGTCATCCACTTGTCCGAGTAAAAAAGTTTCTCGTCCGGATTTTTTTTTTTTTTGTGTGTTAATTTATTCTGTAACAATATTCTCATCAGTGTTCAATCAGCTTTGATATTTAAATCGGCATATTGTAATATCTGCACCTTTAAAGGGCATCCCCTCCCCCAATATTATTAAATGTATGCTTCATCTCATTTTAAATTCCTAAATTTGATCAATAAATTCAATTATTTCGAATAGGCCTAATAAGACACTATATGGCTGATCAAATTAAATCATTTACACTGAAAAATTACAATTGCATAAAATAATGTTGTTAACTGTGTGTGTGTGTGTGTGTGTGCTCATTTGTGTAGATTTCTCCTCGACGCTGCGCGAGCGCCAACAGCGCAACCGTCAGTAATAGTCAACACCACTGACAGTAATGCAGCGCAATATGAAAGAGTTCGTCTTAGGTTTAACAACCTATGAAACTAATAATGAACAATATGAAACTAAAACGACATAAGCTTAATTTATAGCTATTTAGAGGTGGATAAACGCACTTTGGAGGGGGATAAACGCTATTTCCGAATATAGCTGGGTTTCAGTCACGTGATTCTGATGACGCGCGAAATTCAGATGGAGGGCAGGGAGTGAAGAGCGCAATGGACGAGATGGAGGAAAGTCTGTACTGTACTACTTTACACGCTATTACAAGAGAAAGATATAAACAAAAAATCAAACATATGTTGGACGTGATCCTTACGTTATGAAGAGGAGCGATTTTCAACTGAATTGAAAGATTTTCCTGCCATCGAGGCGGTAGATATCAGCAACTACCTCGTCTTACAGACATACTTTGACTTTACAAAGTTCGGAAACGTTACACGTTACACAAACATAGCCACTTAAGTTGTATTAACTCACCTTTGACGAAGTGATCACTGCACACACGGCCATTTTCCCATTCGGCTCCTCCCGACCGCAGACGTAGGTTTGCAAGCCGTTTTCACTGAGTTTTTCAGTCCATTTCTTGCATTTTCTCCCCTTATGAACAACAACTTTTGGTACACGATAAAAACTCCTCGTGGTTTGATCGATTTAAATAACCATAAACGACGCAAAACATAGGCATTTTGAGTTTGTTATAGTGCTTTCTAAATACAGCAAATCACTTCCTGCCCTCCATTTGCATTTCGCGCCATGGCAACGCAGTGGCGTGACGTCATATGAAAACAAGCTATTGGGAGGTGCGTTAACGGCGTTTACGTGCGTTTAGCCTCCACTACATCCCTGCATGCGTGCGCTCCTGTGTTCCTGGGCTTGTGGCCGCGAGACTAAAGGAGAGTTTGCGTTCTACACGTTGGTGGACTGTTTACCAAAGTTTGTAGAAATCTGGTGTGTTAATGAGGTATTGTGTACTTTATGTGAGAGAAATGAATTGGTGTCGTCTTTTTAAGTATACATGGGTTAGGGTTAGGGTTAGATTGCAGGATGAAGTGTGAATAATTCCAGACTAAATTGTTATAATAAAGGTGTATTTAAAAGCTGTCTCTCTCTGAGATCAGGCGCTGTATGTGAACCCCTCGGACTGCTACAGCCTCCACTGGCCCGTCTGCAGGGGTCACCTGAACCTCCACAGTGGCCCGGGCGGCTCGCTCACATCTGTGCTCATCGACCTCGAGAACATCTGGGCTCACACTCTGCAGAAGCTGCTGGAGATCCCTCTGAAGGACCTGAAGGTGCAGCAGAACCCCATGAGGATGATGATGATGATGGTGGTGATGATGATGATGATGGTGATGATGGTGTTTCAGTATTACAGGTGTATCCTCCTGATCCCAGACATCTATAACCGGCAGCACGTGAAGGAGCTGGTGAACATGCTGCTGGTGAAGATGGGCTTCTCAGGTGCGTCACGCAGACCAGTGGCTCTGGCTGATCTCATCACAGGAAGGAAACTCGGGCCTCGTCCGCACTAACACGCTTTCCTTTGAAAACGCTCATCTTCCGTCCACACTGAGACTGTGTTTTTATGAATGAAAACAAATCTTTTTGAAAACGCTCTCCAAAGTGGATAAATGTGAAACCGCCGGTTTCGTGTTGTTGGGGATATTTAAAACGATGACGTAAGTTTAGTCATGTGATGCATATTGTACCAATAGACATTCATGTTTATAGCGGTGTTGTGCTGTTCACTTTCACACTGTTGCTGAAATACATTACACACTCTTCACATCACAGTCCTGCACTCGCGTCTGCTGTCCTGCGGCGAAACATGAGCAGTTTCAAACATAATGATGAGTGAGAGCGACCTGGACGATCTAATTCTGCTAAATAGAATGATCCTGTCAGAAGAATTGCGCGATAACTGTGATGTATTCTTCGGTCTGTGAGGGTTTACGCGTGCGCTGTACGGTGGATTCAGCGTTCCCGTGTGGATGAGAAACTTTTGGAAAACGCTAGTGTGGACGGAGAGCGTTTTGAACAGAAAGCGCCGTTCTCAGTCGTAGACGTGGCCTCAGCTCTGCAGTCCCTGACGTCCCCTGGCCGTGTGTGTGTGTGTGTGTGTGTGTGTGCAGCTGTGGTCCTGCACCAGGAGTCGGTGTGTGCCACCTTCGGCAGCGGGCTGAGCAGCGCGTGTGTGGTGGACGTGGGAGACCAGAAGACCAGTGTGTGTTGTGTCGAGGACGGCGTGTCCCACCGCAGCTCCAGGTCAGACGAACACACTTTATTATACGCCATGTTCAGGCCATTTCATGTGAAGCAGGGCTCCAGACTGCGACCAAATGGTCACATTTTGCCACTATGTTTCCTGCTGGTGCAACCAAATTTTGATATAGGTCGCTCTGGCCGAACGCAACGTTGCCCAGCTTCAAATGGCAAACGAAAGGAAAGCGGAACGAACCTGCGCTACTCGTTTGTGCTTCACGGACCGTTTATTAGTTCGGACCGATAATAGACAGCTACTCGCCAGCCACGGGCCGATCTCGACCACGCGACACCGGTTCTCCACAGCGCTGGAGATCCAGTCACAAACATTCAGATTCAGCGCTGAGTTCTCTGCTGTAAAGAGGTTATAGAAGTCCTCAAATCTGCAACATTCCCCATGGGTTTACTGTAGTAACACTCACTGTAACTGTGGGAGTGTGGCAGAAACAGTCAAACGCTTGCGATACACATCTTTTCCAGCACTTCAAAACTATAATATCATATTTAAATGTTATTTTTAATGTGATGACCAAAACATTTTTTGTTCATCCTTCAAAGATGACCCCCATTTATAGAACTAAAAGTTTCAAGATGTAGGAAAACTCACTTATTTAAAAATAAAAGATTAAATTTACCATTATAACCAGTAGGTGGCAGCAGAGGACGCTTATTGGCTATTTTCACTCCCAAATATCTGTTTTTCCACTCGTTTTGCTTTTGAATTAATATTAAGACATTATGAGTGATAATACTTAAAGTTAATTGTATCTACACCTCAAATTAAGCTCAGTGCTTGGAGCCCTGTAAAGTGAAAACTATCATTCATGTGATTATTGTGCATTTATCCTCCAAACACTGATTAATGGAGTATCACCGCCGCTGAGTGTCTGTTGTGCGGAGAGCGATCCGGCACTGGACTCGCACAGCCCTGACTCCTCTCGAGCTCTCGTGTCGTGTGTTCTCGTTCTCAGGCTGTGTCTAGCGTACGGTGGCTCGGATGTGACGCGCTGTTTCTTCTGGCTCATGCAGAGAGCAGGATTTCCCTACAGAGAGTGTCAACTCAGCAACAAGCTGGACTGTGTGTTACTGCACCAGCTGAAGGAGTCCTTCTGCCATCTGGACCAGGTGATCGCGCCTCAGCGGAAGGCCATTCACTATTTTACAGGCCGCTAATGTTGTTTTGGCGTCTCCTACAACAGATTCACATTCATCCATGATCAAACACACACTAATGTCCTCATAATCTCCACTGCAGCTTCAGCTCTTTCTCTCAGTGTCTGAAACGCTTCCATTGGAGATTCAGTCTCTCTATGCCCCGCCTCTCTGAGAGCTGCTCTGCTGTGATTGGTCAGAACGCTCATTATCATATCTGAACCTCAGCTCTTGATCACAGTGATACGAACAGTAACGATGGCGTGGGTTTCACCGTCTCAATCTCAGAAAACAGCGTCTTCTCGACACGAACCGAACTCTCCCAGTCTCAGATACACTACAGTGTTTGAGGGCGGAGCTAAGAGACGCTGCTCAGCCAATCAACACCAGAAGATGGAATTATGCTAATTAGTTAGAAACCTACGCAGGTTCATCAGGAAGTAGAATTACTGACGACTCGTTTCAGTTCAGAATCACTCCTTTCGTTTGGGAGACAATAACTTTATTTTTCATGCTCTTTTATCATTGCAGACCTTTAACATTCTCAACCAGCTCTATTACACACTGCATGAAAGTAGCGAGGTATATATCATATATCGCCATTTAACCAAAAAATACCGAGATATGGTTTGTTGGCCCTATCGCCGGCCCTACATGAGAGGGAATATCCCCAAAAAAACACAATAAGGGCATTTTAAATGGCTTAAAAGTGTTTATGTGTGTGTGTTCAGTATTTATATCAACATGCTGTGTAATGCGATGTGTTCTGGATTTTCCTCAGGATATTTCTGGGCTGCAGGATCACGAGTTCCGCACGCGTTTCCCAGACTCCCCAGTGCTGCTGTATCAGCTCCGGCTGGGGGACGAGAAGCTGCAGGTAGAGATGCGTGAGCTCAAGGACAGCAGCTTCACAGAGATGGACAGGACAGTAATAGCAAAGCATCACGGGATGTTTAACCCTCGCTCTGCTTCTAGGCCCCCATGGCGCTGTTCTACCCGGCTGCGTTCGGCATTGTGGGTCAGAAGATGACATCACTGCTGCACCGCTCTCAAGGCGACTCGGAGGATCCGCACGACGAGCACTTTCTGCTGACCACTCAGAGCAAGCAAGACCAGGCAAACACACACCTGATCATCGGGAGCGGTTCCGGCCGTGCACACTGATCTCACACACACACACACACACACCTGATCATCGGGAGCGGTTCCGGCCGTGCACACTGATCTCACACACACACACACACACCTGAGCATCGGGAGCGGTTGTGAATTGTAAAAATGCAGGAAATCAAACCCGATCCGAATCTTTTTATGACAGATGAAAGTTTTGGAGGCGGTGTGTAAACGTGATTGACAGCCTGAGGTCGTATTTATTTTTTAACGTGCGAAAATTTCGGACTCAGTGCGCAAGGACCTTTACTCTTGTGCCGAACGATTTCAGTTGATTTTGAGATTTAAAGGGACAGCCGGTTGTTATCTCAGAATAAACCCCTTCAGGTGTGTGTGTGAGAGAGAGTGTGTGTGTGTGATCTCAGAATAAACCCCTTCAGGTGTGTGTGTGTGTGTGTGTGTGTGTGTGTGTGTGTGTGTGTGATCTCAGAATAAACCCCTTCAGGTGTGTGTGATCTCAGAATGATCAGGATCAGGTCTTCATCAGCCTGAAGGGGTTTATTCTGAGATCACACACACACACACACACCTGAAGGGGTTTATTCTGAGATCACACACACAACTGAAGGGGTTTATTCTGAGATCACACACACACACACACACCTGAAGGGGTTTATTCTGAGATAACAACCGGCTGGATGTACATTATCCCTTACTCAACACACTCCAACCGGATCAGGAATGACGGTGTGTGTCTCTCAGTCTTCCAGAGCGACAGCCGAGCGCAGATCGTTCCCGAAGCCCGGCGGGTTGGAGGGGGAATCCAGCATGAGCGACCCGTTGGAGAAGGGGACTCCGGATCTGGAGCTCAGCCACGCTCAAGCCGAGGGCCTGGTCCCCGGAGCCGAAGCAGAGGAGGCCTCGGCGCTGCTGTCCAGGAGCACGGCCATCTCTCAGTTCGAGGGGAAAGCCCTCGGCATGGATAAGGCCATCTTACACAGCATCGACTCCTGCGGCGAGTACTCGCTCTTAGCACTGTTTGCCAGCGCGTGTGAATCCCTCAAAAACCCTTAATTAAAGCCTGTTCACAGCAAGACAGTTTTCAAACAGAGTTTTGGATTCGCTGTGGTTAAAGCGATAGTTCACCCAAAAATGAAAGTTTGCCCATGATTTACTCTCCCTCAAGTCATCCTAGGTGTATATGACACTCTTCTTTCAGATGAATATAATCAGAGTTATATTTAAAAATGTCCTGGCTCTTCCTTTATAATGGCAGTGAATGGCCGTTTCTGTTTTGAAGTCCATAAAAGTGCATCTATCTGATCTTTCCTATCTTTCCTTATCTGATTTCAAACATGCCTTATATTGTTGTGTTTTTATATTGTGTTTCTGTGTGTGTTGTTCAGGCTCGGACGAGACGAAGCGTAAGATGTACAGTTGTGTTCTGGTGGTGGGCGGCGGGCTGATGTTTCCCGGAGCGCAGGAGTTTCTGCAGCAGCGAATCCTCAACAAGATGCCGCCATCCTTCCGCTGTCTGGTGGAGAACGTGGAGGTCATCACACGGCCCAAGGTGTGTGTGTGTGTGTGCGTGTGCGTGACTGGCTAAAGTTCATGATTTGTTCACAATATAAAATTCACAATATTAAATAATTGAATCCGAGATGTGACTGGGCAGTAGCAGTGAATCAGGCCACTAAACGATGACTTTATCACAAATAATTAACCAACTTCATCTGGTCAGATTTTCTCTTGCAAAAAGTGCTTAATAAACAGTAAGAGAAAAAGAGGGTAAAGAGCCCGGCTAAAGCAAACACTGACAGATCTGTTAGTGTTTAATGATCTGTTGCTGCAGGTCATGTGACTGTTTTCTTTACAGTGTGAGCAATAATGCCAGCTGTCCCTTTGCACCATCTGGTGGCGATATCACACACTACTATCTCCATTATTTTTGTAATTTTACATACATTTGTATGTAATTTAAGAAAAAAAAATGTATTTCAGTATAAAAATGAGAATTACTGTCATTTGTCATCAATGGCATAATACTTAAAATAATAGTCAAGTTTTTAATTTTACAGATATTTACAGTTGAGTACAATTTAAAATAAAATAAAACGACTGTGTAAAAAAAATGCTGATTTTTTTTTTAGTGTACAGAACACAACGCTGATGAAGTGTCCCCGGTTCCGGCTGACCTAATCTATGCAGCCTAACATTGAATTATAGAAGTCTATAATGTATTATGTGTATGCTAGGCCAAAGAGATGTGTTTTTAGTCTAGCTTTGAACTGACAGAGTGTGTCTGCTTCCCGGACAATGGTAGGAAGACTGTTCCAAAGTTTTGGTGCTAAATAGGAAAAGGATCTCCCGCCAGCAGTCGATTTAGATATTCTAGGTATTATCAACTGGCCGGAGTTTTGAGATCGCAATAGACGTGAAGGACTATAATGCGTTAAGAGCTCGCTCAAGCACTGTGAGCTAAGCCATTTAGTGCTTTGTAAGTAATCAGCAATATTTTAAAATGTATACAATGTTTAATAGGGAGCCAATGCAGTGTTGACAGAACCGGGCTAATATGGTCATACTTCCTGGTTCTGGTAAGAACTCGAGCTGCGGCGTTTTGAACCAGCTGGAGTTTGTTTATTAAGCGTGCAGGGCAACCACCCAGTAGAGCATTACAATAATCTAGCCTTGAGGTCATGAACGCATGAACTAATTGTTCCGCATTTGTCAATGAGAGCATATGATGTAATTTAGATAAATTTTTAAGATGGGAAAAGTTATTAAGGGCCTGATGCGAACCCTACCCATAATCCCCTGCGCTGTGCCTCTCCTCAGGACACTGATGCGCGTGTGACGGCGTGGAAGGGTGGGTCGGTTCTGGCGTGTTTGGACACCACACAGGAGCTGTGGATCCACCAGCGCGAGTGGCAGCGCTTCGGTGTGCGGATGCTCCGAGAACGAGCCGCCTTCGTCTGGTGAACACATCGCTCCTGCTGTTTCGTCTGGTGAACACCGCTCCTGCTGAGAACTATGGGGAAGCATATCAGTGCTTATAAGGGCTAGGACAAAACAGGCCTGTCGAAAATAAAACAATATTTCATATTCCAGTGGGAGTTTTTCATAAAAAGTAAGTATTGTTTTGTATTATTCCTAATTTCAACGGTCAGAACCGTTACCTGTACCCACTGCTTCTTACAAAAGCCATGTTTATTTAAAAGATACTTATTAAAAAGTGCTTCTTTATCTTTAAAATACATTTTTCCCCAACAGTTCTGGAACTGAACAGCTTTTGTAGAATCTCATTATGTAATAATTGCATAAAATGTCGTGTCAAATGTACTTTTCATGATGTGGTAATTTTCTCAACAAAAACACAAACCAATAAAATTGTGAACAGTGTAATAATGTTTACTTAATTATTACTTACTATGACAACTCGTAGTGTAGTAAAGCACTACATTATTGAAGTTAAATATTTATAATGTAATATAAATATTGAGTATCATGTAATAACATTGTTGCAGAGTGAGTGTGTGTGAGTGATGAAGAGGCGTCTTTGGCTGCTTCTTGAAAGATGTGATGTTTGAAGGTCTCGTATGCTGAAATCTTTATCAAAATCGGAGTTTATTTTTCTGACCGCAGCAGTTATTTGTACTCGTTTTCAACATAAACTCTTTGTCTTAATATCTGCTGTCATTTTGCTTCTCCAGTAAATATATCTTGATTTAAGAATGTTTAAGTGCTGGAAACCAAGACAGAAATACTGAGGAAGAGTATGTTTTTTGTTAGTATAATAAATGGATAATTTTTATGCTTATTTTATTGATTCAAACATGCCATCACGGGCCAAATCTAACACTGATGAAATATCACCCTGAGTATATAAGATAAAATTCTGTCGAAATCAAAACAAATCCAGAATCCAAATAACACGGATGGACTTCAGCTGTGTCAGTGTTTGTTCAGGTTAGCAGCCGTGACCTTTGACCTTTGAGTCGCTGGTCTGTCCACTGATGTGTAACGTTCTCCTAAAAATAAAGGTTCCTCCAGTGGGAGATCTTCTCTATATCAGTGTTATTGTTTCTGAACTCCAGTGGTTCATGTGGGTTGTCTACAAACCAGAAGGTTGGTGGTTCAATCCCCGGTTCCACCTGACCAGGTGTCGAGGTGTCCATGAGCAAGACACCTAACCCCAGCTGCTCCTGACGAGCTGGATGGCGCCTTGCATGGCTGACACCGCCGTCGGTGTATGAATGAGTCAGGATTACTTCAGGGAGCCCCATCATCTTCGAGTGGCTACAGAACGAGCCAATGAACGTTGGTCCGTACAGACAGCACTGCGGCCATTGCGTACATCAACCGTCAGGGTGGTCTACGCTCCCGCCGCATGTCACAACTCGCCCGGCATCTCCTCCTTTGGAGTCAGAAGCATCTGAGTTCGCTTCGTGCCATTCATATCCCGGGCCTGCTCACACAGCTCCCTCGGCACAGACGCACTGGCACACAGCTGGCCCAGGGCCCTACGCAGGTATGCGTTTCCCCCAGTGAGCCTTCTTGCACAGACACTGTGCAAAGTCAGGGAGGACGAGGAGCAGGTTTTGCTCGTTGCGCCGTATTGCCCCAACCGGACCTCGTTCCCGGAACTAGTGCTCCTCGCGACAGTCCCTTCCTGGCCCATTCCTCTAAGAGAGGACCTGCTCTCTCAGAGACGGGGCACCCTATGGCACCCACGTCCAGACCTCTGGAAACTCCATGTCTGGTCCCTGGACAGGTCGCAGAAGTTCTAGGTGACTTGATACCATCACTTCCGCTAGAGCCCCCTCTACGAGGTGCCTCTATGCGTTGAAGTGGAACCTGTTAATTGAGTGGTGTTCTTCTCCACCACTCAAGGAGTGGAGAACCCCGAACTTGCTCGATCAGGGCAGTTCTTTCCTTCCTGCAAGAAAGGTTGGAGCGAAGACTGTCTCCCTCCACCCTTAAAGTGTATGTTGCCGCTATCGCCGCACATCAGGATGCAGCTGAGGGTAAATCGCTGGGAAAGCACGAAATCCACCTCGCCCGCTCTCGATAACCCTCTTGGGATTTGTCTCTGGTCCTTTTGGCTCTTCAGAGACCACCCTTTGAGCCTTTGCAATCAGCAGAGTTAAAAATCTTGTCCTGTAAGATATTACTCTTGGTTGCATTGGCCTCCATCAAGAGGATAGGGGACCTGCACGAATCGTGCCTGGATTTGTGCCCAAGGGTCCTACCACTCCCTTCCGGGACACGGTGGTGAACCTGCAAGCGTTGCCCCCGGAGGAGGCAGACCCAGCCCTGGCTTTGCTCTGTCTCATTCGCACTCTGCGCCTATACCTAGACAGAACACACAGACTCAGGACCTCAGACCAGCTCTTCGTCTGTTACGGAGGCCAGCAGAAGGGAAAGGCTGTCTCCAAGCAGAGGATGGCCCACTGGATAGTGGATGCCATCGCCTTGGCTTACGATTTCGGGTTGAAAGCCCACTCCACTAGGAGTCTTGCTTCTACCTGGGCGCAGCCACACGGAGCCTCGCTGACAGATATCTGTAGAGCTGCTGGCTGGGCGACACCTAACACTTGTATGGTTGTGTAACTTGTGCTAGGCTGGGTTCCATATGTTGTGATCCCTGCGGCGATCCCATATGTGTATTCTTCCACAGTACGGCTCCCTGCAGCGAGCCCGCGTCTTTCCCTTGGCAGAGTCCGCCCTGCCGTCACTGCCCGGTGTAGTGTCCCCCTTCTCAGGCTGGATCCACCCCAGTGACATTCCATATGTTGTACGGCCCCTAACCGGCCAGTCCATATGTGTATTCTCCACATGTTAGGATATGGCTTCTGCAGCGTCCCTCTCCCCTGGAAAGTCACGCGTTCCCAGTGTTATCCAAAGAGTCTTGCTGTATGGGTTATACGAAACTGCAGTTTGAACTCCCTCTACGCAGTCCTTCCGCCGCAGTCAGTTGGAGGTCTGAGAGTCTTGCGTAGGGCGCCGGATGTGGCAGTAACCGAGGCGTTTTCCATAGGGATCCCAATTATGTTGCTGACCATCGATGTGCGGCCGTCACAATCTCGCCGCCTCAGCGAAAAACAGAGGTGCGTGCGTCCGCTTCCGTGTTTATACCAGCGGGGCACGTGACCAAGGTTATAATCGTTAACGAAAACGAACGAAAAAACGAAAACTAGGTGGGAAAAAACATTGTCGTTAACTGAAATAAAAATAAAAACGTGGCATTACAAAAAAACGATAACTAACTAAAACTGTAATGTGTGTTTGGCAAAACTAACTAAAATAAAATAAAATTAGAGAGTAAATGTCCTTAGTTTTCGTCTTTGTCAATGTCTTGGGCCGCCGCACCGGCCGCCACATAATTGCATTTCGTTATTCATTTTTATAAAACGCAGCGTGTTCGTTCAGCTGCATTTCCTTTCCCTGCTCTCTCTCTCACATACACGCGGCGCGCACACACACACACACACACACAGCCCCTCCCCCTCCGTGCACACCGCGTCTCCATGAAAACGAGTGTTCGTTGAAAGCAAGTTAAAGGTTGGTATCTCGTGAACACCTTTACACAATCACACATTAAAAAGTGGCATAACAAAATATTTTAAATTCTGAATACAATTTTGTCAGTGTGTTAATGTCGACCTGAGAAGCGATTGCGGCTTCTTTAGAAAGTTTAATGCTGTTGGGTTGTCGATGTCAAAACACGATATAAGCTGTGATTCAAATTAGCTAAATAATGTTATGTCATTTTTTAACTCTTACACTGAATGTTTGCTGCTTCAATCCAGATGAGTATTGTTTAGGGTAAATTTAGTATGGGTGTGAAAATTGTACAGCTGTGGGATTTGTATGGGGTGTGCATTTTGTATAGAAGATGTACGTGTAACGTAGATTTTTGGTACGGCGTATGGATTTTGTAGAGGTAAAGAGATTGAGCTCCTAGCAATAGCTGTGTCCGAAACCGCTCACTCGTTCACTCATTCACTAATCCCTATATAGTGTATGGCATTTGAGTGCACTATATCTGCAAGGAGTGCACGAAATGAAGTGAGTGAATTCGGACACTGACGTTTACACTGTGCGTCGGAGAGTTGGAGCTGTCGCAGAAAAGGCTTCGTCACACGTACTGATAAAACTCCTTTTATCTTATGTTACTTACTTTATAAAATAATATTAACAACAATCACAATCATAATGACTTTATTTTGTAATTGTATATACACCTCCGTGCCAGCTTTGTAGTTTCATCGACTGAAATTGTAACTCTCACGCTCACAGATGACGTGGTCGTCGAGCGCCCTCAGGCGACCGTTATTATATTCGAATGAATACGCTTCCTACAGATGATAAACGGATATTTTTCAAATCATCCACCAAATAATCATCTCTCCCTTTAAAGTTTAACGAGTTAACAACAATGCCATAAATTATCAAAACACATTAGTAAAACACATTCAATTGTGTTAATGCCTAAATAATATATTTTAATTAAAAAAACGATATACATATAATTTAATTTAATTTTACAATTCATCTATATAATATTGTCTCAATGTTTTAATATGTTCTATTCAAGTAATGATTCATAGAAAAATAAAACTAGCATGAAATAAATGTTAAAGCAGGAAAAGAAAGCTGTAATGTAATCTCTGGTTTAAACTGCTCTCTCAGTTCTCTCCGCATTGGATTGTGGGAAATAGTGCTTCAGCAAGTGTACATCGAATGTACACTCGAATTCAGAGAGGATTGTGGGTAAAAGTAGTGAATGAATGTAGGGAATGATGTCGTTCACTCAGAATTCGGACACCACTACAAAATGGCCGACACCCGATATAGTGCACTATATAGTGGATAGGGAGCGATTTCAGACACCGCTAATGTCTTGTGAGGCTCATAAATGTGTTGATACGCCGTTCATGTGTGTCTTCTTTAGTCTGTTGGCTATTTAGGTTTTTTCCTGGCACACGTCACTTACACATTTTGCACTTACTGCTGAGTCTTGTGTAGACTGTTTACATATTTGTGCTTGTACATTTTATGTAGCTACCCGTGTTATTGTTGAATACATATTTCTAAAATTGTATGATGTTTTTGTTGAGTTATTATTACACAATACTTTTTTCCGACCTTTTTGAATCTTGCCCCTGACAAATAACCAAAATGACAAAAAAAGACTAAAACTAACACTAAAACTAAACTAAAACTAAGCATTTTCAAAAAATAAAAAATAAACTAAACTAGCAAACCCACTTTAAAAACTAATTAAAACTAAACTGAATTTGAAAACAAAAAGTCAAAACGAAATAAAAATAAAAACTAATGAAAAATGCAAAACTATAATAACCTTGCACGTGACTCAATTCACGCACACCAACGCTCATTGGCTCGTTCTGTAGATACTCGTAGATGATAGGGCTCCCTGAAGTAATCCCAATTACACCAGCACGTCGACATAACGTCTCCCGTTCCCTCCTTCAGGGAACGAGGGTTACATCTGTAACCGAGACGTTTCTTCTGGGAACGAACACATCACAATATTCCTCATTTAAATAATTCATACGCAGAATAAAGGGGCGGGCCTTGTTTATTTAGTTAGTGTGTTGAAACTGGCAGATACTGACAGATTGGGAAGAGAGGAGCCGCAACAATGGAGAATATGGGGAAAATAATCAACATTCAAGCAGGAAAACCTGTTCTAGTAGAGACCAATAACAACCTTTATTTTCAAGTGTAAGTCGAGCACCATTAGGCTCCTCTCTTCCAGCATGACAGTTTACCTTTATTAACCCGAGCAGAGATGGATCCGCTACGCCGTCCCGTCACTGTGTTTGTTGAAGTGGTCAGAGTCTAAACTAATGCAAACAGGAGCTTCAGACACTGCAAACCTGCCAATACAGATGCTCATCTGCATAATGATTTTTTGTGGTGGACTATTCCGTGTTTTTGTTTTCATTTCATTGTAATTAGAGCTATAACTGTGTTGTTCCCAGGTGAATTATTAATTTAATTTACCAGCCGCATGAGACAAATCAATTTAAATACAATACTTGTGGTCAATGCAGTACAGCAAATCACACTAAATTCTGGTATATAGATCTTGGTTTTAATTTACAAGACATTTGCCTGTTACTTAATGTATTATTATCATCATCATCCTAACAATAGAAAGGCTTTTATCTCAGTTTATTACATAATTTTTTCAGTTTTAAGCATATGAATAACATTTTACAGATTAGACATCAGAAGGAAACAACATGAAATAATGTGACAAAAGGCAGTGCAGTTTACTAATAAAACTCAAGCAGCAGAAGTTATTTCTCTCGATATACTTGATATATATGATATATATAAATTGGCTCAGGATCTTCTCAAAAGATTCTCTCAACGTCCTCTAAACATTAGCACACAAAAAACATTTATACATCGTTCATGTTCAGCAAACATTCAAAAGTCACAAAACGGAATGTTCCCTTAACGTTCGCATAACCATGATAGTGTTTTGAGATGTTTTGAAAACGTCCAATCACAGCTGAACCAGTGAAGAAGAAGCTCAGTGAGTTTGATCAGAGCTGGAACTGAAGTCTGCGGGAAGGAAGCATCTTTCATGATGAAAAATAACCAGAAAGGCACACATCATGGCAGGAGATGAGGTGTTTGGTCCCGGCTGAGGTCTTCGGCACAGGTTAGGAGGTCTGTGTGGATCTCCATCTTCTCCAGGGCGTTCCTGAAGGTGAAGGAGCTGAAGCAGGAGCACATCTCTCTTCTCGACACCTTCTGATGGAGCTTCTCTGAGTCTCGGGGCAGAAGGAATCTCCTGAATCCTCTCAGCTCGGGTTGCTCGCTCTGGTCCTCGGCCCGCAGGTTGACGACCCAGAACTTGTCCCGGCCGAGCGGGTCATGGGCAGCGCTGGACAGCAGGTTAAGGGTCAGGGCGAAGAGACTGCTGGCCGAAGCTGAAACCGTGTCATCGCTCACGCCGGGAACTAGGTTTGATTTAAGGTCGTCTGCAAAGAGAAGCATTCAAAGAAGACAAGAAGTGTGCTTTCAATATGAGTTCATCAATAATTGCCTAATATTGAGACAAGCAAATGGGTCATTCTCTAAAAATCTGTCTCCATAAAATTGACAGGACTGTTATATTCATCTGCTTCAGATTGAGAATCATTGGTTACCCTTTATTTTAAGGTGTCTTACAGTCTGATTATACAAATAAGTACTTATTAAATTAACTCAGGACATGTATTTACTAGGGCTGCCCGGCCTCGACTAATGATTTTTCTTGTCGTTAGTAGTCGTTCCTTTAAGCCATTAGTTGACTAATCACGCGTTTATATTAATAAGCCATAAATCATAATAATGCACCTTTTAATTGCCTAAATAAAATACGCTCAAAATCAGCGCTCAAATTCAAACATAAAGCCACAGCGCACCGGCAAACGTAATGATTATGAATGTGTCGTGAAAAAACAATGAGACTCTAAACGTTTTAATAATTTATTGGTAATGTTTTCTGTGTTGATGCAGACTCGTCATCTCCGCAGTACTGGACGCCATATGCACGTTTCATACGGATTACATAATCGGAGAATATTTATTTTCCATTGGAATCTGTTCATTCAAATGTAGATTTCAAGCTTTCTATAGACATATTTCTCATGTCTGTGAGGCAAGTATACGCTGAGTTTCGGTTCATGTATGTGGTGCGCTCAAGTTCAAGACCGAATCGACAGAAAGCACCATTTTTTTACAAAAGCACAACTGTTTGTTGTTATTGTGAGTTTACAGAAATAAAAGTAGACCTTTTACAGTTTGCGTTAATCTTATCTGTATGAGCAAAAACGACAGTATTTTAAGTTAAATGCGAGTGATGGCACCGGCGCCTGTAACACAGTAAACACACTCTCCACACAGACACTTATGTGTCTAATAATAACACACGTGTCTAGGTTAGGGTTAGAGCGAGTGGACTTGTAAAGCGCTACTACTGCACTTTCATATTTCAAGTAATAAGCCATGTTTGAGGTCGATTAATGACAGACGAATGTTTGGATTTCCTTCCGTTAACGATCTGTCCGTTACAAGCCTGCGTGATTTCGCCACTTTTTCAAGTTTTTTTTTTTTTCTGCGACTGAACGACTGATGCAACTTAGGTTGCCTACGCCTGTTCCATTAGGGGGCAGCCCTAGTACTTACTATTGGGTTAGTTGCATGTAATCTGAGCCACATGGACGGGTGCTGAGAGCAAAGCAGTGAGTTTGGTACCGGTCTGAGGCGGTGTGATGAGGAGGACTCTGTCTGCGAGCTCGGCCTGTGTGTTGATCCAGCGGAGCGGGCCTTGTTCCGCTAGGCTAGCTCGGTCCCACACGTCGATGACCACGGTTACGCCAGCGCGCCTGTGCAGGGATTGAGCCAGGAGCATCACAGCGCGCTGAAACACACCGTCCACTGCGGGATACACCAGCAACACTCGCACGGACACGCCACGCTTCGAGCCACGGCCCCACCGCAGCACCTGACCTGGAAGAGCACGAGTACACTGAGACACGGCCACCATAACTCCAGTTCAAACATTACTGACCCTAGCACAAACACTGACTGTAGAGTTGGCCCTCGACTAACTGGGGCTCAGGTCAGAAGCAGAGAGACTGGCTAAACCGACCGTCTGCTAGCGGCCTCGCGTCACTGAAGTCAGATAAATCCCACCACATAGAGACTCTCTCACCTAGATATCATCATATAGAGACTCTTCATATAGAGACTCTTCATATAGACACTCATCATATAGAGACTCATCATATAGACACTCATCATATAGAGACTCATCATATAGACACTCATCATATAGACACTCATCATATAGACACTCATCATATAGACACTCATCATATAGACACTCATCATATAGAGACTCTTCATATAGACACTCATCATATAGACACTCATCATATAGACACTCATCATATAGAGACTCATCATATAGAGACTCTTTCACCTAGATATCATCACATAGAGATCTGTTCCCCGAATTAGGACATACAAAAAACTCCCAAACCCATTTAAGGGTAAAAATTTAATTGATGTTTAACAAATAAAAAAACTAAAATAATACAGATGAATAAACAATAAAGCTTGGGTTGCTGAATATTCGGTCCCTTTCTTCAATAGCACTTGTAATTGTAATTTATAATAATGTCATCAGTATTACTCAGAGGTCTAGTTTAAAATATAATTCTTTTGAAGTGTTGGTGCTTAAAGGGATAGTTCACCCAAAAATGAACATTAGCCCATGATTTACTCACCTTCAAGTCATCCTAGGTGTACATGACATTATTCTTTCAGATGAATACAATCAAAGTTATATTAAAAATGTTCCGGGGGTTAATAAAGTTATGCTAAAAGAGCAACTCCTACGTCATACATCGTAAAGTGTTGCTCTTTTGGCGTTAATCGATGAGTACTGTCGTCTGCCGGAAGCTAGTTATTTTAGTCGCTTCACGTCAGAAGGCCTTTATTAACCCCCGGAGAGCCGTGTGGAGCACTTTAATCATGAATAGATGCGCTTTAATGGTCCTCCAAACACATACAGCCATTCACTCCCATTATCAAGCTTGGGAGAGCCAGGACATTTCTTTATATAACTCTGATTGTATTTGTCTGAAAGAAGAATGTCATATACACCTAGGATGATACACCTACACTTTAGAGTAAATCATGGGCTAATTTTCGTTTTCGGGTGAACTGTCCCTTTAATGTAACATTATCTAGTGGGTTTTACTGGATCTTAGTGCTGCATTTGATACCATCGACCACAAAGTTCTTTTGAATAGACTTGAAAATTATGTTGGCATTAGTGGAGTTGCACTAGCATGGTTTAAATCACACTTATCTGACCGTTATCAGTTTAGCAGTAAATGAAGAGATGTCTTATCGATCACAAGTTCAGTATGGCGTACCACAAGGCTCAGTACTAGGACCGCTGCTGTTCACTCTGTACATGCTACACACACACTCTGTACATGCTACACACACACACACACACGCTCTGTACATGCTACCCTTTTCAAAATTGACAATTCTGTTTTTTTATGGAATGCCGAATTATACATTATTTATCCGTACACATCATTGTTTGTTTTTTTATTCTTTTGTCTCATAATCTTGAATCAAAATTACTTCCCCTCCCTCTTGCTGCGAAAAGGGCACCAAATCTTTTTGGCAACCAATGCCCTTCAAAACACCTTCCTTTGTGTTCCGCAAAAGAAAGAAAGGCATGCAGGTTTGTAACAAAATGACAGTGAGAAGAGTCCTGGATATCCCCATACCTGTGTATAAAGGTGTGAAAGCAGGTTTTAAGTCATTTTATTGATCACTTACACGTGATGCAGCAGCAGAGAAGCACGAAAAGAAGCGCCAGAACGCACCCAACACCAATGGCCAACCCAGACTTGTCTGGAACAGAAAATTCCAAGAGTAACCAGACAAATGTTCTAAACAGATAACGCAACAAGTACACAGAGATGATGAGTTATAGGATACTCACTCGTACAGATCACTTCATGCTGAACTTCATCTATACCCTTGCAGTGTTCAAAGTGAGGTGTTATCTTAAAAAAAATAACCAAAAAAAAGGCAAGTTAATTCAGGTTCCCTTTGGAAGTGGAACTCTACGCTGCGTCCTCAGTCGGAACGCTTCATGAGCCGGTGTCTGACGCACGTGTGTTACATGGCCATTCTGATTGGCTACCGCAGTTAGGATTTGTGTGTAATATGTCTAGGGTATATATAGTGTATCTGGCAGAGGGCATGTTGTTGGACCGATCTAGTGCTGAGGAACTAGATGTGGCGGGAGTTGAGGTGGATGTGCTGAGTGACTCCGTCTCCTGCCTTGCCCCCCCACACGAGGACAGGGCTGATGAATGACCCCTGCCACGGCCAGATTACACCTAGATTGGTCGGTGGAGAAAGAGGAATCTGCCTAGGGTAGACTGGATGAGCGATTCCTGGCAGGTCACAGGGCCCGAATTAAATTTACTAAGTATTTTATTAAGTATAAAAGCAAGTTATCAAATATTTTTAGTCATGCATGTTTTGTATTGTTTTGTGCACCTTCTATATATTAGATCTAATTTTATAGTCACCAATATTGTAAGGTCTTCACAGGGACCCGTGTATTCCAGTTCCACTTGACATTTTTCTACTTTGCATCCCTGTAGGGCCAACAAACAAATATGAAAAATGACAGATTGATGTTTTACTTCACCTGCAGATTTTTTTTTTACTTGTTTACACTTAAATCAATTGTATGGCTTTTTATTTCAAATATTTTTAGATATTTTATTTATTTACTTATTTTCCTGTGGGTTGCAGTGTTCTTTAATTCATTTTCGCACAAAATAAAATGTTAAAAAGAAACATACCTCTTTTATCTCAACAGTCTTTAGGATTTCTTTTGGGTTCTCCAGATTGATGGTGTGTCTGTCCGCCGCAGAGCTCTCATTGAAGGTCACCATTATCTTATCATCATGAAGGACTGAATAAATGTGAGCGTTCCATTGGATTTCAGCTGGGAAGTCAATCAACAGTCAGTGAAAATGTATTAAAAGTATTAAAGTGGAGTGTGTGTCAGCCTGAAGTGTTTGTGTTCCAGACATGAACGATTCCTCAAATCAAGTGTCTTGCTGAGGAGAGATGTGCTGTGCAATTTTCAAATGCTGGATAAAACAAGTGGAAAATCCCACAGATGTACATTAAAGAGAGACCCGAGCCATATCTTGATATTAGAGCTGTGTTTGAAATTGATGTCAGGTGACATTTTACACGGATGTCTGAAACCACAGTGAAGATAATCTAGTCTAGAGCACTTATTCAATCTTGCAGGTTCTCCTCGCGTTTCCTCTTGGTGCTTCGGTTTATCAAGCTATATTTATAGTGTTGTCTGGCACATATGTCAGTGACACAGTGACTTGGTCGCACATATCGATTTGTTCTATTAAGAGGTTGGTTTTGTTCTATTAAAGAAGACCTATTCTGTTTTTCTCCATGCTCATCTGTGTTTAGTGTGTGATGTTGCTGTTTGATCATAAGAAAGCTCCAGTTCTCCTCTATATCAGAGTCAGTGTTTCTGAACTCCTGAAACGCCTCCATTGTAGTCTTGAGCTTCTTACGGGAACGAGCACGTCACAATATTCCTCATTATAATAATCCATACGCAGAATAAAGGGGAAGGACAATTCCCAAACACACTCGAAGCGTTTGCCCAATCACAACACACTTCTCCAGCCGACTAATCAGAGCACAGTGTGCTTTTCAGGAGGAGGGGCTTCATAGAGACAGGAAGTAAACAGAGCGTTACTGACAGACTGGGAAGAGAGGAGCCGCAACAATGGAGAATATGAGGAGAATAATCAACATTCAAGCAGGAAAACTTGAAACAACATCAAGAGTTTGTGAAAGAATAGTGAAACATTCAAAAACCAAACAAAAACACAGATTTGGACACCTGATCAACAAATACATACATAATCACTGCTAAAGATAATAATGGCTGTATCAAAAATAAGATGATTTATTTACACAAGTTTGATTTGCTTTTAGCTATCTTTAATTATATTTCAATAATTTGTAATCTCTCTTAACTCATTGGTAAAGTATTGCAATAGTTGCCTTTCGAGGGAACTCGCACTGAACTCTCGAGGGAGCTGCTTGTGAGGATTGGGAAACATTACCAATCCGAGTGCTGCGCTCATCATGGGGTTCGCATATGGATCTGATGGGATCCTGAGACTGCTGAGGCACTTTAACAGGAATCCTCTGCCAGTTCCGATGTTCTCCCGCTCAGCGGCTTCTTCCTCACAAGCGGAAAACCCGATGTTTGAGCTGTCTGCTTCCGGGGAAGTGGATTTTGGAGATGACTCGCCACTCCATGTCCCTGCATATGAGGAGCTGGTTGAGGTTGTTTCTCGTGCCGTGGTCAGATTAAACATCAGCTGGCCACGTGAAAGGCAGGAAGCGCAAGTGAAAAGCATGACTTGATGAGCGCTTCCTGCAGCGCAGAGAACAACCTCAGCGCTGGGGTTTGCCTTTTTTTCAGATTTGCACAAGTTGTGTATGCAACATTGGGGGAAAGATGCACAACAAGTTGTGTAAATCATGGAAAAAGCCACACTCTTCTCGTCTGACCAATCCCCCGTATTAGACTACAGTAATATTGCTGGGCTTTTCATCCTCCAACTCACGCTCTCAAGTTTTATGTCCAGAGGTCTTCTCGATGGTGGAAGTCAGACCAGTTGCTGGTGTGTTTCGGGTCGCCCAAGAAGGGGCTTCCCGCATCCAAACAGACCATCATCAACTGGATCGTTCAGGCTATCTCTATGGCCTATCAGGTGCAGCTGCCTTCACATTTGGCCATCAGGGCTCATTCAACAAGAGGCATGGCATCCTCTAGAGCCCTCCTTTCAGGGGCCCCGATCCAAGAAGTTTGCGATGCACCAGGATGGGCCACTTCTCACACTTGTATCAGATTCTATAGCCTGGACATTCCTTTTACGCCTGGCACTCTAGTGCTCACGTCCTAAGTGTGCCTATGACAGCTTCACACTGGGACAGGTAGTATCGACGCAGTGCGAGTTCCCTCGAAAGGGAACGTCTCGGGTTACGACTATAACCCTTGTTCCCTGAGAAGGGAACAAGACACTGCGTCCCTTCACCACGGTGTCCGTTTGAAGCTTCCGTGAATGCCGTCACATGTTACGTCATGACGCAACACCAATCACGATTGGCTTAGTTTCATTCATGCTTCCCCAAAGTGTCGTCATCAACGCAGTGTTTCGTTCCCTTCTCAGGGAACAAGGGTTACACCCGCGACGTTTTTCAATAATGAAAGACTGAAAATCATAAACTGAGCAGAATAGGGCCCAAAACTGAGCCTTGAGGAACTCCAATATAATAATAATACCGAAACATAAACTTTGCTTCCTGTTTGATAAATATGAATTCATACTGTAACATGTATGTCTCATACATTTAATGGCATCAATATAAAAATTAAAAAGTGTGAGCTTTGATAGGAGCACCCTAATGTTTCACAGTATCAAACGCCTTCTTTAAATACCCTCAGAAAATGCTCCTATTCTAAAAACCTATTCTAATTATCATTGATTTGGTTACACTCAATTTCACAAAGAGTCTGATGTGAGTTTATCGTGAATATTTTTTATTGAGTTAGAAGTCAAGTGACAATGTTGAGAAATATATATGATATGGCTTTAAATTCAATTAGTAGCATCTCTGGTTTCAGGCAGAATTAACATAATGCCGTTCCTTACTGTGACTGAAAATGGCTCATATAGGGGGAAGGATCCTGGTCATTTCACCCACGTCAAAGTAAAGTCAACATATAATGATTTAATCCCAGAGTGAGCAATTCCAGTCGGTCCTTTCTCATGTAATGGACTTTATGAGACATTAATATAGGGATTGAGGATGATTTCAAACACAGCTCATAATATCACCCCAGACAGCAACATAGTGTCGGCCCAGTTCCGGCCCTCATCCGGTACACATGGTTTCCACACGGCCTGGATCTGGGTCGACACTATGTTGCTGTCTGGATTTGATGCCGTCTAAAACATCACAGATTTTGCACGTCTGAGCACCAGCCTCATCTGTATATTTCAGCTGAAGTAGATCTTAAAATGAAATGTGGAACACAGTGAACAGTGACTCGTAGTTTATAGTTTTAATATAAAATTATAATAAGATGGAGAAGAAATAATCAAACATCACACCACATAGAACAGAGAAGATGAAATGAGTGGCTGTAAGAGCAAATAAAACTGACCTGCTTTGAAAGTCTTTGTATATGTGCTGCCTGTTCCAGTATTTGATGTGGGAAGGTTATAGGCCAAGAAGTGATACTTGTTTGAAGGACAAACGGATACATTTGGCACAGTGAAACTGAACCACAGCTGTCAATCAAGAAGAGAGTGAGATTAGGACACACAATCTCTCAGTTTCTCTCTGATGGTGTAGTATTTGCTTCATGGGTGTTTACTGTAATAAAGCCCTAAACTAAAATTGAAATTATACTCTCGTCTTTAGTCTGTTTTCTGATCCATCTTCAAAAGGCTTTCCAGACAAACAAATTATGTTTTTCTGACCCCAATGGCAGATATATGTTCTTGTTTTAAGTGTAAAGTCAACATTTCAGCGTTTTGTTTTTCAGTAAAATATCTAAGTAATGATATTTTCCGAAAACCTGTCATTATCTGGTGTGACCACCATTTGCCTCACGCAGGTGTACAGATCCTTGCAACACGGGGCCGTGCATTATCATGCTGCAACATGAGGTGATGGTCGTGGATGAATGGCACAACAATGGGCCTCAGGATCTCGTCACGGTATCTCTGTGCATTCAAAATGCCATCAATAAAATGCACCTGTGTTCATTGTCCATAACATACGCCTGCCCGTACCATAACCCCACTGCCACCATGGGCCACTCGATCCACAACGTTGACGTCAGCAAACCGCTCACCCACACAACGCCACACACACTGTCTGCCATCTGCCCTGCACAGGGAAAACCGGGATTCATCCGTGAAGAGAACAGCTCTCCAAAGCGCCAGATGCCATCGAATGTGAGCAATTGCCCACTCAAGTCGGTTACAACGACGAACTGCAGTCAGGTGGAGACCCGATGAGGACGACGAGCATGCAGATGAGCTTCCCTGAGACTGTTTCTGACAGTTTGTGCAGAAGTTCTTTGGTTCTGCAAACTGATTGTTGCAGCCGCTGTCCGGGTGGCTGGTCTCGGACGATCTTGTGTCCGGGTGGCTGGTCTCGGACGATCTCGTGTCCGGGTGGCTGGTCTCGGATGATCTTGTGTCCGGTTGGCTGGTCTCAGACGATCTCGTGTCCGGGTTGCGGGTCTCAGATGATCTTGTGTCCGGGTGGCTGGTCTCGGACGATTTTGTGTCCGGGTGGCTGGTCTCGGACGATCTTGTGTCCGGGTGGCTGGTCTCGGACGATCTTGTGTCCGGGTGGCTGGTCTCGGACGATCTTGTGTCCGGGTGGCTGGTCTCGGACGATCTTGTGTCCGGGTGACTGGTCTCAGACGATCTTGTGTCCGGGTGGCTGGTCTCGGACGATCTTGTGTCCGGGTGGCTGGTCTCGGACGATCTTGTGTCCGGGTGGCTTGTCTCGGACGATCTTGTGTCCGGGTGGCTGGTCTCGGACGATCTTGTGTCCGGGTGGCTGGTCTCGGACGATCTTGTGTCCGGGTGGCTGGTCTCGTACGATCTTGTGTCCGGGTGGCTGGTCTCGGACGATCTTGTGTCCGGGTGGCTTGTCTCGGACGATCTTGTGTCCGTGTGGCTGGTCTCGGACGATCTTGTGTCCGGGTGGCTGGTCTCAGACGATCTTGTGTCCGGGTGGCTGGTCTCAGACGATCTTGTGTCCGTGTGGCTGGTCTCAGACGATCCTGTGTCCGGGTGGCTGGTCTCGGACGATCTTGTGTCCGGGTGGCTGGTCTCGGACGATCTCGTGTCCGGGTGGCTGGTCTCAGACGATCTCGTGTCCGGGTGGCTGGTCTCGGACGATCTTGTGTCCGGGTGGCTGGTCTCAGACGATATTGTGTCCGGGAGGCTGGTCTCAGACGATCTTGGAGGTGAAGATGCTGGATGTGGAGGTCCTGGGCTGGTGCGGTTACACGTGGTCTGCCGTCGTGAGGCCGGTTGGATGTACTGCCAAATTCTCTGAAATGCCTTTGGAGACGCTTATGGTGGAGAAATGAACATTCAATTCACGGGCAACAGCTCTGGTGGACACTCCTGCAGTCGGCATGCTAATCACACGCTCCCTCAAAACTTGCGACATCTGTGGCATTGTGCTGTGTGATAAAACTGCACATTATAGAGTGGCCTTTTATTGTGGCAGCCCTAAGGCACACCTGTGCAATAATCATGCTGTCTAATCAGCATCTTGATACGCCACACCTGTGAGGTGGATGGATGATCTCGGCAAAGGAGAAGTGCTCACTAACACAGATTTAGACAGATTTGTGAACAATATTTGAGAGAAATATACCTTTTGTGTACATAGAAAAAGTCTTAGATCTTTGAGTTCAGCTCATGAAAAATGGGGGCAAAAATGTGTTGCCTTTTTGTAATTTTTTCCAGAGTATGTACACCTGTTGTAGGCGAGCTAGGCTGATATGAAGTCTCTCTCTCTGTGTGTGTGTGTGTGTGTGTGTGTGTGTGTGTGTGTGATGGTCATATGTACACCTGTTGTAGGCCAGCAAGGCTGATCTGATCAGAGGAGAACTCAGGCTTGTATCCACATCTATAACTTGATTCTGTATTATCATTTGCCTCTGACCATGTGATCCATGTGCCAGTGAGATTGCGAATGGTGCCTGAGAATGCAAGCGACAAACAGAATTTACACAAGTATACTGTACAACTCAGCCTATGATCTTTAGTAAACAGTTCTTCACTATTAAGATAATGTAATTACTGTAAAATACTTAAGTATTTAATAATACTTTTATTAATACTTATTAATCTTTAAAAAAAAAAATCCGATCTTTTGAAAAAACAATCTTTTCTGGTTCCAAAGTTGCAAAACAAACACCAAATACATGATCGTGTGTGTGTGTGTGTGTGTGTGTGTGTGTGAGCGTGTGTGTCTGTGTGTATGAAGCATCAGCATCAGCAATCAGTAGCACCTCATTGCAGTACACGAGATCCAGGGGGCGGAGTTGGATCCAGATTTAAGGGGTGGAGATGGGTAGGATTAGGGGTGGGGTTAGGGGTCAGGGGGTGGAGATGGGTAGAATTAGGGGTGGGGTTAGGGGTCAGGGGGTGGAGATGGGTAGAATTAGGGGTGGGGTTAGGGGTCAGGGGGTGGAGATGGGTAGGATTAGGGGTGGGGTTAGGGGTCAGGGGGTGGAGATGGGTAGAATTAGGGGTGGGGTTAGGGGTCAGGGGGTGGAGATGGGTAGGATTAGGGGTGGGGTTAGGGATCAGGGGCGGAGATGGGTAGGTTTAGGTATATGTAAGGTGGGAGGAGTTGGATCTGGATCCAACTCCTCCCCCTGGATTTCGTGTTCTGCAGTGAGGACCATCTCAAAATATCAGCATCATCACCATAATAAAAGTGCTGTGATCAGCTGTAATTCTGTCAACTGTGGCGTTTGTTTTCTGTGACTGTAAGAAGAGTTTCTCATTATCTAACGTCTTCTCTAGTCACTGACTCTCAGAAACACATACTCGCGCGCACACACACACACACACACAAAACTTTTAAACACAATATACAATTTGCAACAATCACATCTGGTTTTAAATGTTAATTAATATTGGTAATCTACTACATCAAATAAATCTTAATTTCCAGGTTTTGTTTAACGTACGACAGTGGGGTTAGTCTATTATAGTTGGGTTTCATTTTTGAAAAATGGTCCATATTTCCAACAATTATCATTTCTTGTGAATTCCAACAACAACAACAACAACAAAAACCACACATATCCATCAACAAGAAAAGAGATTTACGGCTGATTACAACAACCAGACGTAACGATGATAGTAATAGTGTAATATGTGCTGTGACTTACTGTCGACATTAATGGCCCATCTTATAGTGAGAGAGGATTGAGATTCACTCAGTTCTGCAGTCAGATCATGTACGGGTGAAGGGTTCCATTCATGATATATATATTCTTCATCATCATGAGACTCTGAAAAAAATTCTTCAAGGTTATCATCAGACAAAAGATAGAAAAGAAAGAAAGATAGAAAGAAAGAAAGAAATAAAGAAAGAAAGAAAGAAAGAAAGAAAGAAAGAAAAGAAAGAAAGGAAGAAAGAAAGGAAAAAAGAATGAATGAAAGAAAGTTTGTTCTTTAACACTTACGTTGTTGACATGTTGCAACCTGAAATCAATGATTTAGTAAATTACTGATCAGAAGATTTTTAAATGATTTCTGTTTTGAGATTACGTCACTTACGAAACTGTGAGATGCGCTGTCAGAAGGTTTCCACTGGATTAATAAAAGAAAAGCAGCGATTTCCCTCATGAGGTTCAGAAGATCCATCTCAACAGACTTAAACAATCCAAACAATGATTGTCCAAGATTCTAATTATTAAAAAGCCTTAATTCAACTGTCTAATTCACATAGAAAGCTTAAAAATGCACATAATGCTTCAAACCCACACGTTTCTGCAGCGAATGCCTTCCTCAGTGTGAAGCAAAGCTTCTGTTGAACTGCTTTATCTCTTCTCTGAAACACCCACACACACACACACGCACACACACACACACACACACACAGATTGATCTCAGTTCCTGTGTCTGTCATCTGTCGCTCCTCGTCAGCAGTTCCGGCTGCACTCTTGCACTCTCAGGTACCTGCACATTTATCTCACAATTCTGAGAAAAAAGTCAGAATTGCGAGTTTAAATCTTTTTAATAGAAATGGAGATATAAACATGTTCCTGACCTCAGTAATACGTGGATTATAACAAAAGCACAACATGTACTGTGAGAGAGCCTTCTTACAGAGGTTTCAATGGGGGCTTTTGTTGTAAACAAATGTGAGTAGTTTGTATAAAAGTTTGAGCACTCTATAGCTTAAAAATTCATCGAGTTACATATGCTGAAGCAAAAAGTTATAAGTGATCACTTTTTAGGGGGTTTCCACTGTGTGCAGTACCTAGCACCTGGTACTTAGTTTAGTAACACCTAAGTTGAGGTGAGTTGAGTCTACATTCCCCTTTAAATGAGTCTCGGGGTGCTTCTCAATATCACTCCTCATCTCCTCGCTCCTCCGTCCTTCATCCTCTGACCCGGAAACCGATCAAGCTCAGCCATCTTGAAGGACATCTCAATTCTGGAGTGAGGAGCTTCCTGAAGAGTTATGAGGGAGGAGTGAGGAGCTTCCAGAGGAGTTATGAGGGAGGACTGAGGAGCTTCCAGAGGAGTTATGAGGGAGGAGTGAGGAGCTTCCAGAGGAGTTATGAGGGAGGAGTGAGGAGCTTCCAGAGGAGTTATGAGGGAGGACTGAGGAGCTTCCAGAGGAGTTATGAGCGAGGAGTGAGGAGCTTCCAGAGGAGTTATGAGGGAGGAGTGAGGAGCTTCCTGAAGAGTTATGAGGGAGGAGTGAGGAGCTTCCAGAGGAGTTATGAGGGAGGACTGAGGAGCTTCCAGAGGAGTTATGAGGGAGGACTGAGGAGCTTTCCAGAGGAGTTATGAGGGAGGACTGAGGAGCTTCCAGAGGAGTTATGAGGGAGGACTGAGGAGCTTCCAGAGGAGTTATGAGGGAGGACTGAGGAGCTTCCAGAGGAGTTATGAGGGAGGACTGAGGAGCTTCCAGAGGAGTTATGAGGGAGGAGTGGGGAGCTTGCAGAGGAGTTATGAGGGAGGAGTGAGGAGCTTTCAGAGGAGTTATGAGGGAGGACTGAGGAGCTTCCAGAGGAGTTATGAGGGAGGAGTGGGGAGCTTGCAGAGGAGTTATGAGGGAGGAGTGAGGAGCTTCCAGAGGAGTTACGAGGGAGGAGTGAGGAGCTTCCAGAGGAGTTATGAGGGAGGAGTGGGGAGCTTGCAGAGGAGTTATGAGGGAGGAGTGGGGAGCTTGCAGAGGAGTTATGAGGGAGGACTGAGGAGCTTCCAGAGGAGTTATGAGGGAGGAGTGGGGAGCTTGCAGAGGAGTTATGAGGGAGGAGTGAGGAGCTTCCAGAGGAGTTATGAGGGAGGACTGAGGAGCTTCCAGAGGAGTTATGAGGGAGGAGTGGGGAGCTTGCAGAGGAGTTATGAGGGAGGAGTGGGGAGCTTGCAGAGGAGTTATGAGGGAGGACTGAGGAGCTTCCAGAGGAGTTATGAGGGAGGACTGAGGAGCTTCCAGAGGAGTTATGAGGGAGGAGTGAGGAGCTTCCAGAGGAGTTATGAGGGAGGAGTGGGGAGCTTCCAGAGGAGTTATGAGGGAGGACTAAGGAGCTTCCAGAGGAGTTATGAGGGAGGAGTGGGGAGCTTGCAGAGGAGTTATGAGGGAGGAGTGGGGAGCTTGCAGAGGAGTTATGAGCGAGGACTGAGGAGCTTCCAGAGGAGTTATGAGGGAGGACTGAGGAGCTTCCAGAGGAGTTATGAGGGAGGAGTGGGGAGCTTCCAGAGGAGTTATGAGGGAGGACTGAGGAGCTTCCAGAGGAGTTATGAGGGAGGACTGAGGAGCTTCCAGAGGAGTTATGAGGGAGGACTGAGGAGCTTCCAGAGGAGTTATGAGGGAGGAGTGAGGAGCTTCCAGAGGAGTTATGAGGGAGGACTGAGGAGCTTCTAGAGGAGTTATGAGGGAGGAGTGAGGAGCTTCCAGAGGAGTTATGAGGGAGGACTGAGGAGCTTCCAGGGGAGTTATGAGGGAGGAGTGAGGAGCTTTCCAGAGGAGTTATGAGGGAGGACTGAGGAGCTTCCAGAGGAGTTATGAGGGAGGACTGAGGAGCTTGCAGAGGAGTTATGAGGGAGGACTGAGGAGCTTGCAGAGGAGTTATGAGGGAGGAGTGGGGAGCTTCCAGAGGAGTTATGAGGGAGGACTGAGGACCTTCCAGAGGAGTTATGAGGGAGGACTGAGGAGCTTCCAGAGGAGTTATGAGGGAGGAGTAGGGAGCTTCCAGAGGAGTTATGAGGGAGGACTGAGGAGCTTCCAGAGGAGTTATGAGGGAGGACTGAGGAGCTTCCAGAGGAGTTATAAGGGAGGACTGAGAAGCTTCCAGAGGAGTTATGAGGGAGGACTGAGGAGCTTCCAGAGGAGTTATGAGCGAGGAGTGAGGAGCTTCCAGAGGAGTTATGAGGGAGGAGTGAGGAGCTTCCAGAGGAGTTATGAGGGAGGACTGAGGAGCTTCCAGAGGAGTTATGAGCGAGGACTGAGGAGCTTGCAGAGGAGTTATGAGCGAGGAGTGAGGAGCTTCCAGAGGAGTTATGAGGGAGGAGTGAGGAGCTTCCAGAGGAGTTATGAGCGAGGACTGAGGAGCTTCCAGAGGAGTTATGAGGGAGGAGTGAGGAGCTTCCAGAGGAGTTATGAGGGAGGACTGAGGAGCTTCCAGAGGAGTTATGAGGGAGGACTGAGGAGCTTCCAGAGGAGTTATGAGGGAGGACTGAGGAGCTTCCAGAGGAGTTATGAGGGAGGAGTGAGGAGCTTCCAGAGGAGTTATGAGGGAGGACTGAGGAGCTTCCAGAGGAGTTATGAGGGAGGACTGAGGAGCTTCCAGAAGAGTTATGAGGGAGGACTGAGGAGCTTCCAGAGGAGTTATGAGGGAAGAGTGGGGAGCTTCCAGAGGAGTTATGAGCGAGGACTGAGGAGCTTCCAGAGGAGTTATGAGGGAGGACTGAGGAGCTTCCAGAGGAGTTATGAGGGAGGAGTGAGGAGCTTCCAGAGGAGTTATGAGGGAGGACTGAGGAGCTTCCAGAGGAGTTATGAGGGAGGACTGAGGAGCTTCCAGAGGAGTTATGAGGGAAGAGTGAGGAGCTTCCAGAGGAGTTATGAGCGAGGAGTGAGGAGCTTCCAGAGGAGTTATGAGGGAGGACTGAGGAGCTTCCAGAGGAGTTATGAGGGAAGAGTGGGGAGCTTCCAGAGGAGTTATGAGGGAGGAGTGAGGAGCTTCCAGAGGAGTTATGAGGGAGGAGTGGGGAGCTTTTAGAGGAGTTATGAGGGAGGAGTGAGAAGCTTCCAGAGGAGTTATGAGGGAGGAGTGGGGAGCTTCCAGAGGAGTTATGAGGGAGGAGTGGGGAGCTTCCAGAGGAGTTATGAGGGAGGACTGAGGAGCTTCCAGAGGAGTTATGAGGGAGGACTGAGGAGCTTCCAGAGGAGTTATGAGGGAAGAGTGGGGAGCTTCCAGAGGAGTTATGAGCGAGGACTGAGGAGCTTCCAGAGGAGTTATGAGGGAGGACTGAGGAGCTTCCAGAGGAATTATGAGGGAGGACTGAGGAGCTTCCAGAGGAGTTATGAGGGAGGAGTGGGGAGCTTCCAGAGGAGTTATGAGCGAGGACTGAGGAGCTTCCAGAGGAGTTATGAGCGAGGAGCTTCCAGAGGAGTTATGAGGGAGGAGTGGGGAGCTTGCAGAGGAGTTATGAGGGAGGAGTGAGGAGCTTCCAGAGGAGTTATGAGGGAGGAGTGGGGAGCTTCCAGAGGAGTTATGAGGGAGGAGTGGGGAGCTTGCAGAGGAGTTATGAGGGAGGAGTGAGGAGCTTCCAGAGGAGTTATGAGGGAGGAGTGGGGAGCTTTTAGAGGAGTTATGAGGGAGGAGTGAGAAGCTTCCAGAGGAGTTATGAGGGAGGACTGAGGAGCTTCCAGAGGAGTTATGAGGGAGGAGTGAGGAGCTTCCAGAGGAGTTATGAGGGAGGAGTGGGGAGCTTTTAGAGGAGTTATGAGGGAGGAGTGAGAAGCCTCCAGAGGAGTTATGAGGGAGGAGTGGGGAGCTTCCAGAGGAGTTTTGAGGGAGGAGCCGGGAGCTTTTAGAGGAGTTATGAGGGAGGAGTGAGAAGCTTCCAGAGGAGTTATGAGGGAGGAGTGGGGAGCTTCCAGAGGAGTTATGAGGGAGGAGTGAGGAGCTTCCAGAGGAGTTATGAGGGAGGAGTGAGGAGCTTGCAGAGGAGTTATGAGGGAGGAGTGAGGAGCTTCCAGAGGAGTTATGAGGGAGGAGTGAGGAGCTTGCAGAGGAGTCATGAGGGAGGAGTGAGAAGCTTCCAGAGGAGTTATGAGGGAGGAGTGGGGAGCTTCCAGAGGAGTTATGAGGGAGGAGTGAGGAGCTTGCAGAGGAGTTATGAGGGAGGAGTGAGAAGCTTCCAGAGGAGTTATGAGGGAGGACTGAGGAGCTTTTAGAGGAGTTATGAGGGAGGAGTGAGAAGCTTCCAGAGGAGTTATGAGGGAGGAGTGGGGAGCTTCCAGAGGAGTTATGAGGGAGGAGTGGGGAGCTTCCAGAGGAGTTATGAGGGAGGAGTGGGGAGCTTTTAGAGGAGTTATGAGGGAGGAGTGGGGAGCTTCCAGAGGAGTTATGAGGGAGGAGTGGGGAGCTTCCAGAGGAGTTATGAGGGAGGAGTGGGGAGCTTTTAGAGGAGTTATGAGGGAGGAATGGGGAGCTTCCAGAGGAGTTATGAGGGAGGAGTGAGGAGCTTCCAGAGGAGTTATGAGGGAGGACTGAGGA